GTGTAAGGGGAAGTGTGAGGACTGTGTATGGGACAGTGTGGGAACTGCGTATGGGACAGTGTGGGACTGTGTATGGGACAGTGTGGGATCTGTGTATGGGACAGTGTGGGGACAGAGGAAGGGATAGATATTGTGAGACTGTGTGGAGGAGATGAAGTGTTTCGTTTTCAGGGGATTTTTAAAAGAACCATCGCTCCACTGGCTTTTCTGAAGCAGCAACATGTTAGGCCACACCCATTATGAAAAGAAAATGAGAATTTAACGGCACCTTGAGATACCACCTCTTGTGCCAAAAAGCTGCTGAAACTTGGTCAGAGCTCACAACCAATACATCTTTTTTTGTGACCCCACTGTCCTACAGCTTGAGAAGTCTGACTGGTTCTAATCGTAGTTTTTAAAAGCTTTTACAATCTACAACATTCAAGAAGTATCTGGACAAACCTTTAGTAGGCAATAGACCAATTGCAGGTAAATGGGATTAGTGTAGTTTGGTGTTTGTTGGTTGATGGGCCGAAGGGCCTGTTTCTATGCTGCATGACTCTAAGATCAGGGCACTTTTATAAATCAAGGAATAAATGCTGCCTCAGTCTATATATAATATCATGATCCCAATTAATATTTGTTCTCTGAAGACAATTCAATCTAAAATAATATCTAATTTCAGCTTGACTTCCACAATAGTGCCAAGCAGAATCCCTCCTTCTGGCTCAGATGACAGACACACGGTTGAATGTTAGTTATGAACTTTATAGCATGATCCCTTACTCTCCCCCAGTCTTCTCAATCTCTCACAGTTTATAAACTGTAAGACCCAAGCTCAATATCAACTAACAGCTTCTTCATCTAGAGATAGTAAGAACCGCAGATGCTAGAGTCAGAGATAACACAGTGTGGGGCTGGAGGAACACAGCAGGACAGGCAGCATCAGAGGAGCAGGAAAGTTGACACTTCGGGTTGGGACACTTCTTCAGAAAGTCCCTTCTTCATCTAGTCCATTTTGTCTCCTACTCTTTTCAACCTGGCACCAGACCCTTATCTAAAGTTTCTAATACCTTGGACAGTCCAGCAAAACTGAAGATCATATTAACTGAAATTCAAATTAGGTATCATATTTACAAATGGGCTTTTTCAGTGGTGTTTGCAACATTGTCCTGAAATGTGTTAATACTGTAAGAGATAGTAAGAACTCCGGAGGGAGAAGGATAACTTCTTCCAGGTGGGCATCCCATTCCCTACAGATTAAGGGGGTGGCCATGGGAACCCACATGGGCCCAAGCTATGCCTGCCTTTTTGTAGGATACGTGAAACAATCCCTCTTCCACAGCTACACTGGCCCCATCCCCCACCTCTTCCTCCGCTACATCGATGACTGTATCGGCGCCGCCTCGTGCTCCCACGAGGGGCTTGAACAGTTCATCAACTTTACTAACACCTTTCAACCCAACCTCAAGTTCACCTGGACCATCTCTGATCCTCCCTCTCCTTCCTGGACGTCTCTGTTTCCATCTCTGGTGACCGCCTCGAAACCGATATCTATTTTAAGCCCACCGACTCCCACAGCTACACCCTCTCTCACCCACCTTCCTGCAAGAATGCGATCCCTTCCTCCCAGTTCCTCCACCTCTGCCACGTCTGCTCCCAAGATGGGGCATTCCACTGTGGAACATGCCAGATGTCCTCTTTGTTCAAGGACTGCAACTTCCCCCCTTCAGTGGTTGAAAATGCTCTCGACCGCATCTCTTGCGTTTCACGCACCTTTGCCCTCATATCACCTCCCCCCAAACAAAAATAAAGACAGAATCCCCCTTGTCCTCACATCACCCCACTAACCTCCGTATCCAACATATCATTCTCCGCCACTTCCACCACCTGCAATATGACCCCACAGCCAAAGATATATTTCCCTCCCCACCCCTATCTGCCTTCCACAGGGACCGCTTTCTCTGTGACTCCCTCGTCCGCTTCACATTCCCCACTAGCCCCACCACTCCCGGCACCTATCCCTCCAACCGCAGGAAATGCTACACCTGCCCATACACCTCCCCTCTCAGCTTCATCCAAGCCACCAAACAAACCTTTCACATCAGGCAGAGGTTCACCTGCACATCCGTCAATGTGGTCTATTGCATCCACTGCTCCCGATGTGGCCTCCTCTACATCGGTGAGACCAAGCAGAGGCTTGGAGACCGCTTTGTAGAGCACCTGCGCTCGGTTCACAACAAACGACAACACCTTCCAGTCACGAACCATTTCAACTCCCCCTCCCACTCCCTGGGTGACATGTCCATCCTGGGCCTCTTCCACTGTCACAACAACATCACCCGGAAACTGGAGGAGCAGCACCTCATATTCCGCCTCGGGAGCCGACAGCCCAATGGTCTCAATGTGGACTTTACCAGTTTCAAAATCTCCCCACTCTGGCCTCATCCCATGAACAACCCTCCCTCTCATCCCTGCTTCCTTGACCTGACACAACCTGTCCATCTTCTCTCCCACCTATCCACTCCTCCCACCTTACTGACCAATCCCCACCACTGCCTACCTGCACTCACCTATCACCATCCCACCTACCTTCCTCAGCCCCATCCCTCCTCTCTCTATTTATTTCTGAGCTCCCTTCCCCCTCCCTCATTTCTGAAGAAGGGTCCCAACCCAAAACGTCAACTTTCCTGCTCCTCTGATGCTGCCTGGCCTGTTGTGTTCCTCCAGCTCCACACTGTGTTAATACTGTAAGAGCTTGATAAAAGAAGTGGTTAGAAATTTTGCATTCATGTTCCTCCAATTTCCTCTCTCTCTCTTACCTATGGCCTGTTTATTGCACAATTTTCTTGCAGGGTAAAAACGGAATTGTTTAACATGCTGTCAGAGCTTACTCTATGAGGGACATTTGTCTAGTTTATTTAATGGTGCAAGCACAAACATGTAACATGCAACTTATTCTTACACATCTGTCCTTTCCAAATCTGCTCCCAGAGTCGTCATTGCACTAGGAGAGAACAGAATTTGTCAATTTACCACCACCATTGACATTCCTCCCATACAGAGCACTGCCTATTAAATTTAATTTATCATCATATTCTCTTCAATCCTCATTCTTAGAATCACTCAGGGTGTATTGAAAGATCATTCTTTAATTGCTGCAAGTTAGTGCAAAGGGCAATAATTATGCATAATGGAGGGGAAAAATCATAATTTGATCATCTATTTCGGCTGCAACATTAACGAACTGACCACAGAGAAAACAATTACACTGTCTGGATTCAACTATAGATTCTAACATTGGACTGCTGGTCAGACCAAGTTTATTTTTTTCCATACACCGACTTGGGTAAAACTACCGACTATTTGGTTGTAAATTTGGTACCCAATCTCTGTTGTATCAAATAAGATATGATTTACAAACAGCCAGTAATGCTGTGCTGTCCAAACTACTACAATGTATCTATAAAGTCAGAAATCACACGACACCAGGTCGTAATCCAACAGGTTTATTTGAAATCACATGCTTTCAATAAACCTGTTGGACTATAACCTGGGTATTGTGTGACTTCTGACCTTGTCCATCCCAGTCCAACACCGGCACCTCCACATCTTGTAGCTATAATGGTAAAGATACGTTTTGTAAACGGTTATGTTGCATATTTTGGGCTAGATTCCAGCCGTAGTGGCTTTTTTAAGTATCTCAAATGCTATGCTGTTATTAAGACACTAAAACATTGGTGGAATATGAATTTCTGTGATTTATGGGGTTATTTTAAACATATTCCCTACCATGATATTCCTGAAGGCCTTCATGTGTTAAGCCGAAAGATAATGTGAATCTATTTGTTTCTGTTGGCTCCAGAAATTGAGCAGCTTTCACCACCAGATAGTTTATATTTCTACTTCAGTCTGTAGCCAAACACGCCTTTTTTTTGCAGTTTTGTCTTAGTCTGAAGACATTACCTTTCTGCTTCATCATCACTTTCATCACTGGATTCCTCCTCCAACGCTGTCTGCAGGTCAGCAATACGTTTTATTGATGTTTCGAGATCTGCTTGCAAGGTTTGTTTCATCGCCGTCAGGCTCTCCACCTGAGATGCCTGCCAAGTTTTAAAAAAAAATTGACACACGGAACATTCAGAGTTGGCAGTTAAATAAAGAATACACTTTTGCCCAACTTAAGGCAGAATGTTCACCTTTGATACCTCTTCATGTTGACTTTCCCTCATGGTACTGATTCTTCCTGCCATTTTTTTTTCCTTTATTCATTCACGGGATGAATTTATTGCATTTATTGCCCATCCCTAATTGCCCAGAGGGCGGTTAAGAGTCAACCACATTGCTGTGGGTCTGGAGTCACATGTAGGCCAGACCAGGTAAGGATGGCAGTTTCCTTCCCTAAAGGGCATCAGTGAACCAGATAGAGCTTTCCTCAACAATTGACAAAGGATTCATGGCCTTCATTAGGCTCTTAATTCCAGATTTTAATCTCTCAATAAAAGTAAGTGGAGGGATAATTCCATCCCGAGGCGTCCTCTCTCAAACTTTTCAAATTTCTTACATGGAAAGATGAAATCAGAATCCATGATGGATAGGGAGACTGAGTTCCCAAGGAAGGCATTGGCTGTAGTGTGGCCAGGCAGGTGGAGATGCCTCAAGGCCTGCCTGGAGAGTTGGCCTCACAGTTTGCCTCCTGGAGGCTGGCTGAAAGCTTGATGACTCCAATGATCACAGGCTGACGACTTTTCTGGCAGCCTTTGACAATTGGCCCAGGCTGTTAGCACTACAATAGTGCCATTAAACAAGCCAGCTGTACAGAAGTGCAAATTCCTGGCCTCATCATGAGGTTAACAACCCTGCTCTAAATCCTTTTTTATATAAAATGGGCATTTTCTGACTGAGATAAGAAGGAAAGGAGCAGACTTCCTTGGTGCATGGGAAGGTCATGGCTGAGTGGCATTATCAACAGGCTATTATTCCAGAGACACAGTTGATGTTCTGGGGACCCAGGTTCAAATACTTGAAATGGTGGAATTTGAATTCATTTCTCCTTAAAAATCTCAAATTAAGAGTTTTAGTTGTTATTAGTTGCTGGGGAGAAAACCCATCTGGTTCACTAATGTTCTTTAGGGAAGGAAATTTGTTATCCTTATCTGATTTGTCCTATATGTGACTCCAGAGCTACAGCAATGTGGTTGACTCTTAACTGACTTGATGGGCATTAAATGCTCGTTTTGCACAGATACCCACATCTCATCAATGATTTTTCTTTTAAATTAGCATTTTCTGGGGAGCTCATTTGGTATTTGGTGGATAGCTGCATGATTGGAGAAATCAGAAATTACCCTATGAATATTTCTCTCAACCTTTCTGTCTGTTGACTTCACTGGAGAAATATGCTAGGAGAGGTTTATGTCATCAACGTGAGGCAATATATTTTGTAAAGAAACCTAATGTGGCTTTAAAATGGATACAAGTCTTACAAAATGGCTCCCAGAATCCACATGACTATCCTTGTGGAGTCAACTGGTGTTGGAATCAGACAACACTTAACTCAAGAAGAATTGTAAGAGATCTTTTAATCTCAACAATTTTTTTCAAGGGTTAACAGAAACTCATTGGCAATGGCTTCCTGATAGACATGAATAAGTCTTCCTATCCCACCAGAGATCTGACAGAATGAGACTCCTCCAAGATAATGGCTAAGAGAGCGAAGTAGTTAATGACTTTGACCAAAAGATAATGGATGGGTCTGTGATCCTACCTTCATACATCACATGGTGGCATGATTTGACAGTTTGGAATAGAAATTATTTTTAAGTTTAGCAGTATGCAAAAGTCAGGCTACAAGCAAACATTGTGTGCAGGTATTTCACAGCAGAGCTATATAAACCCCAACAGGGAGCATTGGGTGTTGTACCAGACTGCCAAGAGCTGCAACTTCCAGTGCTATAAAACCAAAACAAAGAAACTTTCATTCACTCCCAGGACCTGTTCTGTTCATTCCACTTGTGGGAACAGTCTCTAACTATTCAACTGCAAAACCTCACCACTGCTAACTTGGCTTCAAGTTGTAACACTTTCACTTCAGAAAAAGAACCTTCAAGCAAGCCAGACCAGCAATGACATTAAAGGCTGATTTCATTTGCAGCTTCATACATAACTTTTATCCTGACTAACCTTCAATCTTTGCATCTGTATTTTGGCTAATAGCTTTCTCACTTTTTATATAACCTTCAGCAACACAGTTATGTAACAAACTAACCTTTTTATCTTGTTCAAAGCAGTGCTGCTGGTTATTTTTAATTTGAAACACTTGATCATGAAAAAGCACGTGACTTATGCTTAGTTCACAGACCACTCTGAGGACACACCTGGTAAATGAGCATGACATATGCAACCAACAGCTGATCCAACATTGGCTATTTCACGGGATTGTTCAAAGTCAAAATGACTTCCACTGTCTTTCTGAAACAAACCTAGGTCATAGAGAATGATGCACAGATGCAGAGCATGACTCCTCCTCTACTGCCGTGCAATATGGTTCAGTCTCAGCTGTTAATCCATTTAATCCCCATCCATTAATCCAATGTTAATTCTTCTATTTCCCACACCAAGTCTCTCTTTTGTCTCTCTCGGCCTGTGTTGCCATGGAGACGGTCCAAACATGTTGTGTACAGACCCCATGCAGCAGCTGCCAGAACCTTTCAGTTTATCTGTTTTAAACTGGATTCTGACATATGCCTACAATTAAAACAACAGGAGTTACCATTCAGTTCACAAATTGCACAACAAATCTCACACAAACATATGATTTTTTTTGGGTCAGTTTTTGACAGTTCAAAGTGATGCCTATTTGATCTGGCAGGGGGTTTCACACATGCTATGCCAGTGTAACATATGAAATGAGGCTGATATTGACTAATATAGAACAGCAGTGATATGTCTAGTCTGTGCAAGGCTTAGTACAAAGCATTTTCTATTAAATCTTAATAATGTTTAATCAACTCCCTTTGTGTCTGTGGTATTTGCAATTTGAAAATGAATCCAAGCTTGACTCACTGATAACAATACGTAGAGTTTATAATTAGCTCTATGAGGCATCTGATAATGGGCTGGTTCTTGACAATTGTTAGTCTTTGTAATAAAAGAGACTGCGGCATGATGCTTGAATATTGATTCCTGTCTCTTATGTAAATCACTGGATAGGTCCCAGCTGGAGTATTGTGTCTAATTGTCGGCAGAGTTTAGGAAGAATTTCAAGGCCTTGAAGATGAGACAGACGATGTTCACAAAAACGAAACGATCGGGACTTCAGTTATCTGGACAGATTAACAAAATTGTGATTTTCTATTTACAGTAGCAAAGGTTATAGGGTGATTTATTAAAGACATTCAAAACCTTGCACTGTTTGATACAGTAAGGAGAAATGGATTCCATTGGCTGAAGGAGCCATATCAGAGGACACAGCTTTAAAGCGATTCTCAAAAGAGCCAGAGATGAGGAGAATTTGAATTTAAATGCAGTGAGTTGCTACGGTCTGCGATATACTGCCTGAAATGGTCATGGAGACAGATTCAATCGCAATTTTCTAACCAGAATTGGATAAATACTTGAAAGGGGTAAAACTCCATGGCGAGGAAGAGAGTGCAACAGTCTATGAGCAACAGAAGAAAGGAATTAGAATTGAACAACACATTTTATTTGATGTTTTCCAAGTACAAAACAGTTGAAAAGGCAATTAACCTTGACAGCGAGGCTATCCAATGCTGGTGAGACCAAATACTAAAAAGCCATCAATATAACATAGTGACGAAGAATTCAAATCAGGAATTCATATGAAATTTCTTTCCCCAGAGAATGCTGAGAATCTAGAATGTACAGGTTGAGGAAAATAGAATGATGCGTTGAAGGGAAAGTTGAATAAACTTATGGGAGGAGTGGTTATCACTGCTGCCTAACAGCGCCAGGGACCCGGGTTCGATTCTACCCTCAGGCGACTGTCTGTGTGGAGTTTGCATTTTCTCCCCATGTCTGCGTGGATTTCCTTCAGGTGCTCCAGTTTCCTCCCACAGTCCAAAGATGACCAAGTTAGGTGGATTGGTCATGCTATTGCCCATAGTGTCCAGGGAATGCAGGCTTGCAGGGATAGGATAGGGGAGTGCGTCTGAGTGGGATGGTCTTGGGAGAGTCAGGATGGACTCAATGGGCCTAATGGCCTGTTTCCATACTGTGGGGATTCTATGATTCCTGAGGTACAGAAGGAGCTGAAATAGTTACATAAAGAGCAGTGATTATAAACACCAGGATGAGTCTAACAAACCAAACAGCCTTGTACCTTCTCATCTCTTTTAATCTGCTGGGATTCCTGAGCTCCAGGAACATTAGCCAGTTTGGGTTAAAATGAATTTCCTGTTAAAATGAAGGGATACAGTGTCCAAAGAAGCTTTTATTGGACGACCTGCCTACTGAAAGTGACTTGATTGATGTTTTGATTCACTTATTGTCACGTGTACCGAAATACAGTGAAAAGCTTTGTTTACAAGCGGTACAGGCAGATCACACCAAGCAAAGGATATACAGATGAAAAAGACATAGAGGCATACAGGTTATATTATAGGTTACGTTATTTGAGACTAGAATCCATTCAATAGTCTGGTGACAGCCGGAAAGAAGCTGTTCCTGAACCTGCTTGTGCAATGGGTCTTTGATGTTGACCGCCTTTCCGTGGCAGCGAGCTGTGTAAATGGAGCACATGGATGGAAGGATGGTCTCTGTGATGGTCTGGGCTGTGCACACCACCTTCTGTAGTTTCTTACGGTCCTGGGCAGAGCAGTTGCCAAACCAGGCCATTATGCACCCGGACAGTATGTTTTCAATGGGGCATCTGGTGGTGAGGGACCTTATGGACATGCCAAATTTCCTGAGCTGCCTGAGGAAGGAGGCATTGTTGTGCCTTCTTGACCATCATATCTACGTGGGAAGTCCAGGACAGATTGTCGGTTATTGTCACTGCGAGGAACTTGATGCTCTTCACTCTCACAACGTTGATGTAGATGGGAGTGTGTTCTCCTCCTTTCTTCCTGAAGTCAGTGATCAG